GATGAACTGAAGCAGGTTGCAGTTATATTTAACATTTAAAACAAGAGGAGAAAAAAATAAGTTCAACAAAAAAAGAAAAGTGTTGAAGTGAGATTAAAGATTGATTTTAAATGAAGAGTTTCTCATTAATTTGAAGGACTTTACAGGAAACAGCCAACCTTTCACAATTAAAAAAAAACTGATTTAGTGGCGAAAGATTTCTAAAACTAAATGATAGTTTAATCCAGGGACCTCTCCCCTCATACTGTAGAATTCTGGACAAAAAAAAATGAATGTGGAAAAGAAACGGGATTATGGGAAATGTAAGGTGGGGTAAGGATGAATTACACTGTAAAAAAAAATTTCAAATTTAGCAGAAGCAACTTCTTTTTTTCTTTAAAGAAACTAATGAGAAAAAAAAAAATCACATTTTTATAAAAATTTGTGGCCAAAATAATGCAACCGATGGTATTGTGTATCTAATTTTTTTTTATTCATTCATAATGTTCAGCAAAACAGGAAGACAGCCGAAACCACTACTGACTGTCAAAATAAAAGGCCCTGCATGCTGAGAGGATGTGACATTATCAAATCACCTGCGGTACCGCCCCCTCTCCTTGTCCCTCTCTCTCTCCCTGTCTCTGTCCCTCACTCGCTCTCTCTCCCTCTCACGGCGGGGTCCGCCACGCTCACGTTCACGCTGCCTCTCGCGTTCACGCCGACTGCTCACCACTGCCTGCGTTCGCCGCAGGAAGTCGTCCACACGCATGTCGTAGTCATGCTGCAGGATGGGAAGAAGAAAAACGAAGAAAAGGTCAAGCTGACCACTTATCACTATGATCTGATCCGACTTTATTGATCCACAGGGGGGAATTCGGGTGCGCCAACACAAAGATCAAAATAATCAGGCTAAAAATAAAACTAAAAAACACAGTATATCCGGATCACAAGTGAAAATATACAATTAGTGAGAAATCACATCCTTTACCTGAGTAGAAAGACAGAGCAACATCAGAAAGAGAACAAAGAGCAGCAACAGTAGAGCGATGACAGTAGAAACAGCAGAGTGGCATTAAAAACGGCTGAAGTGACAGGACTGTTACAGTAGAACTCACCGGGCTGGAAGTGAAAGCACGGTGTTGCGGTGCTCTTTGTTTATCTCTGAAGCGAGGGGGTGATGGGGAGGAGGCTGCTCCACACCGGGGTACGCCGCCTGACGACACAAAATCACTGGTTCAGACTGTGGTCAATAACCTGATTGATCAAAACACAGGATCAATAAGAGTTGTACCAGGGTCTGCCAGGGAGCAGGAGGACCGACGCTGTGGTGGTAGTCCCTCATGTAGTCATTGTAGGACTGAAACGAGAAGCACAGGCAACCACAGCTAACACACCGAGGCTAATGAAACCACAGGACGCAAACAGGCTGAACTGTAGCTGATATGCTAACAAGTCAAAGTGAGGCCAGGTTAACCCGGCAACAAAGCTAAGCTAAGCTAAGCTAACGTGTTTGGGACTCACCCCATTGAGAAAAACGTCTCGTCTCACGTTGGAGAATCGCCTGGGGGGGTGGGCAGTGCAAATAAAATGGATTAGTCTGAACTACTTATCAAGTTTAAGAACCACTTGTTAAAACAGTTCAAGTGTTAATAGCATTTAGCTGAAAATGTTCTGGTTCATCTTTAAAAATAAAATATAACCCGGGTGGGGGTGGGGAACAGTTTTGGTAATTTCAAAATAAAGGTTTTCATAAACTTTTCTGTTAATACATTTCAAATTTAAAGCTTTTTGTTTTTAAACATATACGTCCTACCACCTACATATACCGCTTACTTCCTGTGACCTGTGTCAAGTAAGCGAAGAGGTGCATCTCACCTGTCCAGCGGCTGGTTACGAGGGTCTTGGATGAACCCTAAAAATAAAAATGTTTCTCTATTAAATTTTACTTTAAGAGTTTGTCAGATGAGCAGCAGGTGATCAGCCCCGAAAAATAAGTCTGCAACTTAAACAAAAGATAAAGTTATAAAAACTACAGTGAAAAACCAACAGAACAAAGTTTTAAAACAAAGATCAGATGCTGTAAAGGCAACATGTAATAAACTAAAACAATGGAAAGATTTCAGAAAGCTTTAAAATTAAAAAGACAATACAACTAAAATCAACTTATTTCAAAATTATTATGAACTTTGAGGCGTTGAGTTGTAAATGAAATATATCTAAAAACAGTTATCACACATGCATACGAAGTTGGTTTCACTGCTTACAATTATAGCAACATATGAAAGTAATCTCAATAAAAAAAACGTGTGAATGTTTCAGGTAAACCGTAAACTGAGTTTTCACAGTAACAACCTGCTCGCTGGTTGAAGTCAGGTGGACCGTCAGCTCGCGGTCGCTTCCTGCCATGGAGGTCGTACTCTTCAGGTCGACGCCTACGTAAACAAGTTGACAAGTAAGACACACCCGCACACAAATGTGCAGTCAAACTCAGTACGCTCAGGTCAAAATTCAAACAGAAAAAAAAAACAAAAAACAAAAAACAGTACTTTAGTTTTAGCACTAGTTTTTTAGCTTCTGTCCACTGACAAAATGAGTCATCCAGGTGAGACTGGTCCACAAGTGTCACTACAGACCTTGTTTAAACTTAAAGCATAAGGTCTGGGATTTTGTCTGTTTCTCTTATTTCCCCACCAACTCTGTCCAGAGACCAGTGAACGTGGTGTCCTCACCGTGATGCGAGTCCAGACCCTGGTCCAGCTCATCACTCTGTGCCGTAGACCTCCACTGTTGTCCACCAGCTATTAAACCACCCCAGGTTTCCTCCTCAGGAAACACGGGAAGCCGTCTGTTTATCTTAGAAGCCAGGGTCTGGACTCACACACACACTATGGTGAGAAAACCACATTCACTGCTGCTGCTAGTCTCGTGATGGAAATAACACAAACATGCAAAGTCTGTGGCTGCATCCTTTAAGATGGCCTACAGACATCGGTGTTCGTCTAAAAGACTGTCCAGACAGTTTGTTTCCTGCTGTTGCCTACTGGAGTTTTATCTGGGCTGAGGGCGTCGTATGGGCCAAAGCCCTCAGACACAAAGACAAGCTCAGTTATCGACTGTGCTGTGACTCATTTTCCACTTAGTTTGTCCTGTTGTTTCACTGTTCAATGGTCAACAACAGCGTTTTGACAAATTTAGCCACACACACACACACACACACACACACACACACACACACAGTAAATAAAATAAACAAAGAAGA